AAACTTAGGTGCTCTTGAGGAGAGAAGATAAAAAGATGCACCCGCTAAGATAAAAAGATTACAAAAATCTACTACTTATTGGTCAAGTCGAAAAAAACATACGTTTCCTGTGATGTAGAGTTTCTAAAAAGGTGTATTTGCAAAACATAGACAAAATTAAAGTTTTAACCAATCCTTGATGTATAAATTATAGTTGTACGGTAAACGAATGAACTGGTTCGATTGAATGATTTGTTCACTGACCTGAGATGAGTGATAAAAGCATAAAATTTCATTTGCTTGTTAAGTGACAACATTTCCCGTACCAAGCGATGCCGTAGCAATTTCAATCTGAGTTTTTTATCGATAAGGAAACTTTTTAAAGAATTACTTCTTTATATATAAGCCACATTTTTTTTATTATCTCTCTGCCATATGGCTAGATAGGGTATATATCACATGCTAGTCGAAATAACGGTTTTAGACCCTAGATCTCTTTGGACCAAATCCGTTTCAGGACATTTGGAGTTGATCTAGCTATGTCCGTCCGTCTGTCTGTCTGCCTGACGTATCTGATTTGGTCCAAACTTGGTACATCGGAATATTTTTGTCAAACTTAGATCGAGTTCGGAGGCGGGCAATATCGATCCACTCCTTCTGGTACACCCACTACAAAAGGTCGCAATTTTCACAAAATATATTTTCTGCACAGAAGAGAAGCGATAACCCGATTTTGTTCCAACTGTGCAAAGGTCGGTTGCGAAAATGGACAATATCAGTCCACTCCATCAAGTACCTTCCCCACAAAGGGCCCAAATTTAGAATAATTACAACTCTTATAAAATGTAATGTAAGAGTCCGATTGTCTTCAAATTTCACACATCCTAATATTTTTATAAACCCAAGGCGGATTATATCGGTCCACTCCTTCTGGTACCTCCCCCACCAAAGCTCGAAATTTTGAATATTCATTAAGCTCATAAAACGCGAAATTAACATCGGATTCTATTTAGACTTGGCGCATCTAAATATTTCTATCAACACAGGGTCTGTTAAAAAGCGGCAGAGATCGGTCCATTCCTTCTGGTACCTACCCACAATGCGTAAATTTTTTTTATAAAATCCAAAATAAGCATCAGGTTCTCTTTATATTTCACACATTCCATTATTTCTACTAACACAATATCTGTTGTGAAGATAGGGTATATCGGCCTTCTCCATCTGGTACCTCCCCCTCATGAAGCTGATAAAAAGCAAAATCAACATCGGATTCCATTCCAAACTTGGTACATCTCAATATTTCCATCAACACAAGATCTGTAATAAAGATGGTAGAGATCGGACAATTTCTTCTGATACCTCCTCTACATAGGGTTAAAGATTTTGACAAACAAAACGCGAAAGAAAGCGAAATATGCACACATACAAACATTTTTGATAACACAAGACCTGTTATGAAGATCATAGATATCAATACTTTTATCTGCCATAACTTATGAAACAATAATAATTGGAAAAATAATAATGATAATTGTAATAATAATAATAATAATAATAATAATAATAATAATAATAATAATAATAATAATAATAATAATAATAATAATAATAATAATAATAATAATAATAATAATAATAATAATAATAATAATAATAATAATAATAATAATAATAATAATAATAATAATAATAATAATAATAATATTAAGAATAATAATATTAAGAATAATAATAATAATAAATAATAATAATAATAATAATGACAATAATAATAATAATAATAATAATAATAATAATAATAATAATAATAATAATAATAATAATAATAATAATAATAATAATAATAATAATAATAATAATAATAATAATAATAATAATAATAATAATAATAATAATAATAATAATAATAATAATAATAATAATAATAATAATAATGTTGTGTGTTGTGTGTCTGTATATAGTAATTAAGTGAACTATTGAACATGCAAGTGATCCATGGACAAGTTTAATTAATTTAAATTAATTTCCTTGACAAATGGACCAAAAGAAATGTACTAAGAATTAATGTAAGGAAACTTTCGGTTTCGATCGCCTGCCTAACCTAATTTGCCGTTTCATGAACTTTCTTTGTTCCTATAATTTCCCCTTTGGGCCACTGTTGCCATTTGAATGAATTTGTTTGCACAACTTTTTGTCTACCAATCGGATGATACTGCCCATTGGAAATATGCTTTACCTCTTTGTCTAAATTATTCACCCACAAAACGTTACAATAGATAATGACCGGTGGCAAGGCATACAGTGTCATGGGCGTCAGTGCCATGAAAATCAGAGGACCTATGTCCATATACTGAACATTTATGGTCACAGTGCTAAGAAATAAAAACGCCGATATACAGATTAATACGGATAGCGACTGGGTGAGCATTGCCAAGCCGTATTGCACGTTCAGATTGCACGAACACAGAGCCAGTAACTTGTTGCGTTCTCTCAGTATGGCAACGATCTCGTTGCATGAATTTCGCATCTTCACTTTTATCTGCAATTTGTCATTGTACGACTTCAAGAGTCTGTTCAACATTTGCAGCAGGCACGACAGACAACAGAAGTAGAGGGACGAATAAATGAAGTTGGTGCACGTTAGGATGATATTGCAAGCGACTATGTCCCAGGACATCATTCGAACGTACAAAGAAGACACGACCACATTTGACACAAACACCACGACCAACATCAGGTGTAGCGAGCACTGCAACCTGATTTTATTTTCGGTGGATCTTCTTCTGCTTTCGCGGTTCGGAAAATGTTGCTTGTACACGGTCAGAACTAGGTTGAATGCCTTGACGTTTTCCATGCGAAAGATAAAGAATATAGTATTTAGGCTCATCTGATTCAAACCGCTTTGCAAAATCTGCAATGCCGCTAGGCCACTGCTTGTCTTGCTGTCTTCGAAGAAATCAAAATAGTTGTTGATAGCCGATATGCAGACGAAAATGACAAGTAACTCATTTAGGATTAGCACAAATATGGTCAGCCGAAACATGTGATTAACGTATCGTTTCGTTCCGACCAGTTTCTGTTCTTCTACGCGGTATTCGACCGGCATAATGCCCAGGACACGCACAAATTTAAAAAGGATTTTCAAATAACTGTCCATGGGATGGGCGATGCAACGTCCGTCTTTGTCCGTAGGAAGTTAATACTACACACACGTCAATGTGGCGCATTGGTTGACTACTGTCTATGGCTGTCCCGCCAAAGATGGTATTAGCGATAAGAATTTAATTAATAGATTACACATAGAATTAATTATTCAATCATCAATTTTGAAAATGAATTTATTTTCGTTAGTTTTTGTTAATTGAATTAATCGTAATGTTTATTTTTAATTTGATTGGTGATTGACCTGTGACATTTGTAAAAATAAAACAAAACCGGACATATCCAGTGTTGGTATAACCTTTATAGGGAATTTTATGGCCTTAGCCTTTTAACCGCATATGCTGTACATCTTTATTTTTGGATATTATCAGTGGAATATCATATCATTTGGAATCGATGTCCGTCCATCCGTATGGCTTTCTATGATTTTTGACATATCGTAATATTTCTGAGTTAGAAGATAAACAATGTCAAATCTGATTTGAACAATGTACGATGTGCAAAGTTTCAAACAAAATGAATACTCCCGTCGTGAAGGATGTACTTAAGTGAAGGACTCCTCCTCCTTCTCCTTCAGAAGGACTACTGTTACCTCCTACACGACACGAGTAACCGATTTGGTTGAAATTTTGCATATCGTAATATTTCTATCACGCTTAGTTCAGATGAGAAAATGTACAATATCGGCAACTCTTTTTGGTAAAGGGTTGATAGTTTGAATAATCATAATTCTAAGGAACCGTGAAATGCGTCGCAATTGCTTTCAATATTACATTTCAGTTGGAAACATCGGCCTACGCTTCTTTGCGCCTTCCCCACAAATGGTAAACATTTTGTAAAATCATAAAATGGAAACCGTTGTATTCGAATCAAACTTATATCTGGTGCGAATATGGACAATACTTCCGGTAAATAAATTGAGGAATATCAATGCTAAACATGGGGACTTTTTGAAGGCAACTCCTTTTGGAATTCTTATCTTAATTGTCATTGTTAACAACGACATGTTATGATTTGGGTGTGTCTTAAATATTATATCAAATAAAAATATACCGCCCGATCGTGAATATCCGCACGGAGTTCTATTCCAAGGAAAATGATTTCTCTCGAGAGATCTTTCCTCTAGTTATGAATAGTTTGAGACAAATAATTCGCAAATATGACAATGGTTGTTGGGTAAACAAAGACCTAAAATGGTAAAGACTAGACAAAATGCAAATGGTTTGTGTCTACAATACATAGAGTTACAGCTCTTGACAGAGGCATGTTAATATAAAAGCCACAACAAATAAAAGTTAGAAAAATACAAAAATGTGGGTTCCAAATTCTATTCCATAGACCTTTCCAAAAATTTGCCTATGACCTTAGCGGTTTAAATCCGTTAACTTTGGTAACTATGTTGTTATGATGTCATAACTACAAAGGTATTTTCACAGGGTTGCCATATTTTGACTCTGTCTTGTCCTATCTTATACTTCTATGTCTTTGCTGTTAACACAATTTGAAATCATTCGTGGTACCTATCTCCCTGATAATTATTTTTAAAATAATTTTTTGTTGGGATGGCAAATAAACAAAAATTGAGAACTTCCTCACAAAATTATTATTCAGGTATGGGTTGATATAAATATGTATAGGCTCAAAATTGTTAGATATTATTCCATTCGGAATTAGGTCGCATGCTCCAAAACTCATCTTATCCAAAAAGCCGAAAAAGGCCTTTCTAAACTTCAATGTTTACATGTTTCTCGATGACCTTTAAAATCGCTTCATATGATATCAAAAACACACAAGCAGTCTAATGAAAGATACTAATTCTCCATTTTCAATATGGGTATTTAACAAATTTCGTAACATACCATTTTATCAGCACCGGTATTACTCCTCGAATATCTGGCCAGAATCTTTGCGGTTTTATTTGCCTGAAAAAAGAACGAATAATTTTGATGCATAATTATGAAAGAAGTTTTGAGTTTTTCTTTTTTTGAAAAGAAATATTTTTATTTAAGAATAAAATTATTTATTCTTAATTAATTTTATTTAAGAATAAAATTATTTAACCACACAACTAAAACATATGTATTTATGTATATGAATGTTACACAAATACTACGCCCGACGTATTTTCACGTACGTAATTTCATATTTGAACATTTTTAACATTGATATTTGAATAATTCATATTTTTTGTGTTGAAAATAGAAATGAATATACAATAAATGTAATTTAAAACAGTATACATTTTTGTTGATAGATGTCAAGATGTGTCGAATTTGGGTAATACGGACGTACAAAACATTTTATCATAGTGGTGAAGTTGACTATTTGTGTACGCTACGTCGAATTTTAGTTAACGTTGTTAAACTATTTACAAGATGAAAATCTTTTAGTTTTGCTTTTCAGATAGTTCTCTATTTTTTGTTTCATTTGTATACCCCCCTCCATAGTAAGTTTGTCATTCCGTGTGTAACACCTCGAAATTTACATTTTAGACCCCACAAAGTATATATATATACTTGATCAGCATAAAATTCTATGTCTGATGTCTGTTCAGGTCCACGTCTTCGTATAGCCCCATATAATGGTACCTCTCGACATTCGATATTTTGATGATTTGAGCTACATTATTCACAGATTTTTTTTTAAGTTTCGCATTTGAATATTGTAATGGCTCATGACAAAAGTTACCTATGCAGGGCCATGCCGTCGTATAGACCATAAGATAATGGTGGAGGGTATTAAAAGTTCGGCCCAGCCAACCCCTTATCCCATTTTATGTAAGTGTCTCGTTACCCTACAAATCTTGACAACCATATCCGTTCTTCCAACACAGTTCTACAGTCCTGTACAATTTTGAACTAAGTATCCTGCATTAGATCATGAGGTTGATGCATTGCTTAAATCTCGCCACTAACATTTCGTACCATTTAGTACTTTTCGTATCCTTATATCACAAATTTCCAGAAGAATGTATGGAAACATCAATATATAAAATATTAAAATATAATATTAAAATATAAATTCAGATATTAACTAAGACCAAGACGATACTGTAAAAACGAAACCGTTATTTTTCCCGTAGTTTTTTTTTAAATTTTGGTGGATAAACTTTATAACTCACATGGTAAAAAAATCGTTCAACGATCCAACCCAAAAATGTTACACAGTTAGTTTATTTTCCTTCTCGTAAATACTTATGGTTATTTACCTGCTCCTCAACCGTGCACGACATGACAGCAATAAAGACTATCACCCATGGTACACTCCAGTAAAATACCATAATAGCGTTGCAGACAAATGCCCAATTGTATTCGAAGCCTAATTTCAGCGTAACCGATATAAAATAGAAGGGTCCCGAGGGTGCCGAAAAAACCATAAAGGCCAATATCACCAGCAAAATGATGCCAAATCGTTCACTCAATTCGTTCTGACAAAAATCTAATAATTTTTTTCGACTCTCCATCCACTCTTTCAAATTGCGATTTTTTCCTTTCGACTTCTTTCCCAACAACAATCGGTGGATTTCCTTATTCACATGTCGCAAACAGCTCTTGACAATTTTTATTACGGCCACATACAGCAGTATTATTATGCCGCAGAGGAGAAACACCAAATTGCTCATCAACTGGAAACAAATGTTGGCCAAAGTCGCCACATTTGTGGACTCAAAGGCCCGATAATTGTTCAGGATCTCGGTAGTGGCCAGAAACACGTATATCCAGAACCAGTGGCGTAAATTCCAGTTCGAACAGCGATACTGCGAAAACTCCTCCTGATACCTCAAAACCGTGTCCAAAGTTTGCATGAAACACAACTGGCCGGTGAAGAAGTAAAAATAAATAACCGAAACCAAGACACAACCGAAGGCGTAATATATATTCAAATAAATGTTTCCCGTTGAGTTGTAGGCATCGATGTCGAATTGTTTTCGAAACAACAACCAGTAAAGAAAAAGAAATGCACACAGAGCTTGGACCAATAGCAACACAGCGACCGAATGCACTCGATTATGGAGTGTTCTGCGGAAATAGCCGTCCTCGTCATACGAATCGACAAAGTCACAGTTAAATAATCCGTACAAGTTTAAAGTCCAAAGGAAAGGTTTTAAATCCAAATCGCCGAACATTTCGTAAATAACTAAGTGCAAATGCTACAACTCAGCAGGTACTTTATATGGTTGTAAGTAATTAGTAACCAGTCGTGGTGAATGCGCGCCAAATCTCCTTGACGACGGATGAAATACGGCATAAAAACTTATGGATAGTAACGAACCCAAATTGTAGGTGTGTCTGGTTACTTTTCCTGCAGGAATTGTCCAGCAACATCTTTCTGAGAGAGTATGGTAGTGTTTTTCTCTTTTGCAAGGAAAATGTGAAAAGTAAACAGACGGTATTCCTGCACAAGCTTACAACTAATCAGCTGTTTTGTCAAAACAAACCAATTTGTCCCCCATTAAAAGAATTAAAAAAAGGAAGCACCACCAATTTTAAAAGTTTTATAAATAAAAGGGACATTTGATGCGTTCCCCAGGAATTCCTTAAACTTGTGCTAATTGCGTTTGTCTAAACATTTTAGAAATAGTCTTTTGTTTTCTTATTACATATTAATATTTACGGTTTTCCACATTTTGTAAAGTTGCTCTCTAAAAACAATTAGTCTTGCTAATTCCAAAAAAATTTTTTTTTTCAAATTGAAAACACAAAAGAAATAAATAAACAATAGAAAACATCTAATTGAATGTCGATGAATGAGAAGAAGATGAGTTGCAAGTGATTGCAAGAAGAAATTTGTCCAGCAAGAATTTGCAAACTCTCAATATATGAACTGTCAAAATTTCTCTCTCTCTTTTGCAGAACTTTCGCGTTAACAGACGATTTCCAGTAACAACTTGTAACAATTGTTACAAATTTTAGGGTAACCAGACACACCTTGTGCTTGAAACAGGGAACTTAAAGAATGAAAAGGGTTCGCGTTGAGAAACACACACACACACACATGTAGTCCGTTAGATGCTCATCTCTTGCAAAGGTCAACACTCTGGCTTTATGAGTACATTAATTTAATTGGTTAGCTTGTGGTATTTAAATGGGATATGTAGTAACATTTTGGGCATTTGGCAAAGTAGCACGACACAACAATCAATCCCATGTTAAAGTTCCCACTAAAGTTGATGTCACGTAGCAATTTACTCAATGCCACTGAGACCATATTTATTATCTTTTAATACTCTTCGTTCTCTTTTAGAACGAATCTTAAAAAAAAAAACATGTTTATAATTTCAAAATTCTAGCTCTACACATACATACTAGTGGTAAAGTATTTAGTGCATTTTCGTCCGAATTTCCAAAAACCCAGTTCCTCACATGTTAAGTCCACTCAGGGGAACAAGCAGTGTGGCCATTTTAGCATTTTTGCAGCTAAATTTAGCTTTTATTTTTTGTATTTAGCTGTAAAATTTTCATTTAGCATTTTTCTTAGCTTTTTGCAATTAAGAGTTTAGCATTTTTTTTGTCCAAAAATTTTCTTATATTTTAGTACTTTCATATAAATCAATTTTTTCTTAGATCTAAAAAATTAAATTACATGAACATTTATTATTTTTTTTTTTTTGTATATGTGGGGTAAGTGCGCCTAAGTTCGGCATGTCCCAGTAGTCGTCAGTTTTGAAATTTAAACTTAAATAACTAAGAATAGAATTGACCAAATAATGAAATAATTGCAAAAAACGTGAACAGTGTTCTCTGTTCTCTTTCTGTAAAAAAACAATGAGCTCCGATCATTCTTGTCTTCCAACGTGAGCGATAGTGCTTGTTTGTAACGAAAAAATTAGTAGTGGCATCAACTTAATAATCGATTTAAGTAAATTAAATTTAATACTTTTGGAATCAGAAATATTTTATAATAGTAAATAACAGTCTAAAGATCATTTTATAACTTAAAAAACATACTTGATCAAGCATTTTTTTCTTTTATTATTCAATGCCGACATTAGGGACAGGAAAATAGAGATTTGCCAGTAGTCGGCAGGGGCGCTGATTACTAGAAAAATATCATGTTTGATCTATTTCATTAAAACTTGAGAAAAGTATTAAAAAATAATCCAAAAACTACTCAAATAAAAAAATAGTTTTGAGTCGGCAGTTGCTTTTATTTGTGGTTTTTGACCAACTTTTCTAAATTAATTAAATCAGCTATTTGACGTTTTAGATAGCGGTGGCATTTAAAAAAATGTTGGTTATCAAAAGGAAAAAAGATCAATTCACAAATTCCAAAAATAAGAAAAGTACTTTTTTATTTAATCTCATTTTTGCAATTGCAAATTTTGCCAATTTAATAAAAACAAATTCAATTGTTGTTTATTATTTCGAAAACTAAACAAAATATGGAATCTGAACAACTTTATTTTTCTGCAATTGAAAGATTTTACACAGAATGTCGAAAGATTGAAATATTGAAAAGCCTAAAAGTGCCGACTACTGGTACACTTACCCTATGCACATAAAAAACGATTTGAAAATTTAGATACGGCAACTGAGAGTTAATGGAGAAAATCGGTGTAAGTCTGTCTTTTCTTGCACTCTGAGATCAGAACACGAACCATGTTAAAGTTTTTGCATGGTTCTTCTGTAATCGACTGAAACGTTAGGAACTGAAATTAGAAATCTTTTTTATTTAGTAGATACACTAAAATGAAACTCTAATTGACAATGTTTAAGGTTTAAGAATCGAAATGCCAGATGTGTTCATAAAACTATAAACCTTATGCGGTTTGAAACTTTGATATAATAAATCCGAATGCAATCGGAATACAATTTTATTTGGGATTATAGTTTTGTGTCTGAACCAAAGCTTTGCTCAATTTTTATGCGACTCCCCAATGAAATAATTTATCGTTTCCATATTTTTTAAATCCAAAATTAGCCACAAAATCTTAAATGTTTACCCAACATTTTGAGACGTAACCTGTCTCTGCAGATGCAAAGATCCCCAAATTCCTGGTTGGTTTTTGGAAACCTCCAAAGACTTTCCCTTGATTTTTATGTAATATCGCAGAACCACCGAAATACTTTCGCATTGGGTAGCTTGCCAAAACTGTGCATGCACCAAGCATGCCTTATTCGAATGGTAACTAGCCAAAATTGGAAATGAACCTTCCAGAATTTTGACACAAAGGCTAAACCTAAATTCACAACACAAAAACACTCGATACTCGACACTGGTCTGTCAGAGTGGGGTGAAAAATAAGTTTGCAATGATCTTAAGATATCCATGCATGGTAATGTCTGGGGAAGTTGAAGGGCAAATTGTTCCAAGATTTATATCCGACTTGGAGATTGCTAAAAAATGGATGTCATGATACACACAGCGTTGATGGAGTGCAAAATATTAGAATTCACTGCAACACACAAGTTCTATGCAAAAATTAAAATGCTTCAAATTTTAATATAAGAAACAATATCTTCTTCTTCTTCTTCTATATATATAAAAATCAATTGTTGTTCGTTGGTAATGGAATCAGTTGAGAACGGCTGAACCGATTTGCATAATTTTTTGTACAAACGTTCGTCATACCCCGAGTTAGGTTTTTAAAGAAAAAAAATCTTGACCACGCCTACCTTTACGCCCACTATTTCGATTTATCTAAAATCCTTATATTTGCCAAATAATGAAGATATCGGTTTGAAAATTATTACACGAGATACTGTTGACTTTCCCTTCATTCCTAAGTATTTATTTGGGGGCTGAGGAACTGACCACGCCTACTTCTTAATCTATATATAAACCAATTGTTGTTCGTTGGTAACTGGTAATCAGTTGAGACCGGCTGGAACCATTTGGATATTTTTTTTAAATGTTAGGACGAACATTTAGGTTTAGGTTTTTGTGCAAAGAAAAAGTGACCACGTCCAATTTTACGCCCATTTTTCGATTTATCTAAAATCCTTATATTTGCCAAAATCATGAAGATATCTGTTCCACAGTTAGTATACGACTTGATTCTCCTTCTTGATTCTCATTCCATCCCTTGGCATCTGTTTGGGGTCAGAGAAACTGGCAGCACCTACCTCTTTAAATGTATATGTAAAAAATTTGAAAAAGTATAGTTACACATATGTTGAGAACGGCCGGGCCGATTTGACTCAAATTTTCTTTTGGTTATTTGTATTTACAGTGGAAACGTTGCCATGAAAGAAAATTTTGAGATAAATCGCGGGACTGAAAAAATTGACTGTTCTATTATGATATGGAATTTTGTATAGAATTGTTTCAGAATGCCTTTTGGAATTGAAAATTCTTATTGAAAAAAAAAAAAAACGAAAAAATCCAGAAAGTTTGCCTATTTTCTATATATGCTGTTATATGGTTGACATACCCAAATTTTTAATTTTGATTAGATATGGAAATAATCCATCCCATGAGAATTAAAAATGCAAAATTCATTGGAACTTCAATCAGTGAAATATGAAGAAGCACTGTAATATGCGGACTATACAAAATAGTGGAGTGAATTGAAAATATAGTATGAAAAGGATTCATATGGTCGGAAAATTCTTCCGAACCCTTAAAAGTAACCTTAAATCATAGGTAACGTTATACGGGCATTATGCGCTATCGTCAGTAATTACACTGCGCCGCAGACAATCTTGGGGTTAGGAAATTTTTTGGTTGGTGTACAAAAACCCCAAAAGAGGGGTTCCCGGATCTAACTTTTTTAGAGTCCATTTTATATAGCTTAACCATACACAAAGGGCCGCAAATATTTTGCCCCATACTCCGCAAAAGTTACGATAAAGTTTTAAATTTGATACTGTACTAAGGATTACATGAGGAATCGTTTGTACAAAATATGTATCAGGTTGGTCTACATTGTGATAAAGCCCCCTAAAATGATATAGCCACTTTCAAATTCCTCAAATGTTGGTAATTTGAGATTTTAGAAAGAAAAACAAATTCTTTCAAATAATTATAAGTATAGGATCATGCTTCATTATAACTCTTATGTGAAGGTGTCCGGTGATTTTAGCTATTAGCAGGGTTTTGGTTGCATTTTTCAATTGATGTTGCCCTTATGTGGCAAACAACAAATAAACCTAGAATTCCTTATACTCTCAGCCATGGCTCAATTATAAGGTCGACCAGAAGGCGAATTCCCTAAAAATACAATTCTTACATCTACATGTATTGTCAAAATTTTTTATTAGAGCAAAAAATGATTCACCTTGACATAGCAGCGAATTTATTCTTTGTCAATTTTGACAATATTTATATTAAGTATACATTTTGTACATAATGTTAAAAAAAGAAACAACTTTGTTTTAGACCAATCTTGTAAATGTTTGTGACACATTTACCATATCGCATGTAGCCTTAAAGGTCCTCGATACAGCTTTATCCATTGTTTTTTTTTTTTTTTTTTTTTTTTTTTTTTTTTGCTGAATTCAATATATGCAAACATATGGACCTTGCATTGCATTTACTTCATTGCTTGAAAGCTGGCGAATGTAGTTGGGGTATCATTGTGGTCCTGATCACGGCAACAAATTTGTTTATGTGGACACCCAAACTTTTCGAGATATGTATGCTGATTGCGTTTTTAGGGAAAATGCTCCCTGTTGCAATTATAAAACCTAGTTCAAGCTTTAACAGCGGTCATCTTTTAAAACAATGATAACATGCAATTGTTCTCACGGAATACAATAAAGAGAAATATCATACACTTTATTGGTAAGTACTGGAATTGCACAATATATTTGAAAAGCATTTCGTCCACACAGACGTGGGTTTAAAACAATAGACACATTTTGCATATGATGAGCCGACATTGCCCATCTACAAACCAAATTGAAAGGAAATCTCTTGTCTTTTTTCTTGCGTTTTCTTTGTTTACTACAAAAACAAAAGGATATCAATACAAAACACTTTTCTAATTAAGGAGTTTTAAAATAAAAAATTAGATTTGTTGAAAGTCGCACATTTGAAATAGCCTAGGTCTCTTTGGACGTAATCCGTTTCAGACATTTGAAGTCCGTCTAGCGATGTTCGCTCAAACTTTACATATCCTAATAATTGAATCAGCTTTAGGTTAGATGAGAAAGCGGACCAAATCGGTCCACTCCTTCTAGTAATGGAAATGTAGGATTACTAACCGATGTTTCTTTTAACTTGGCGCAACGGAATACTTCCACTTACATAAGAACTGGGACCACCGACCAACATTTATTATACTCATAATCCAAGTCACATATACTCATAATCACACAATATATTTAAATAAATGGACATAGGATAAGGGTAAACATATTTTCACTCGTTTTACAAAAAAGGAATAATAATGCCACTTTTATGATCAAGTTCTTTTCATAATTTAAGCCCAAAATTAAGCTCCAATGATTGTGTTCTCCGGTAAAAAAATTGGAAAATTTAATAGGCGAATGTATCATCTTTTATTAAAACAATTTGAGGTAGAAACAATCAGTTAAGATTGTTTGTTTTTTTTTTTGAAATAAGTAATTTCATTTAATTTGGGTTCGGCAATGTTCTTTAAAATCAGTGAAACTGTGTCAAAATCAACGATTTGAGACCCCAAAATATTAAAGAATCCAGGACATCTACAATTTTGTGATAGAAAAAGATCATACAAATTTACCGCTTAATACTGACATTTTTGATGGGTTGATGGTTCCTTCCTTATATTTTCAGTTATCCGAATTCTTATCGAAATTGTTTCAACTAAGATTTCCATTCCACGGGACATTTAACGCATTTTATATGCTATTTTTGCTTTTATCGAGTTCTGTTAAATCGGGGACCGGGCAAAACAGTACAATTCACAGCAACACAAAATTTCCTTGCAAACTTGAAATTTCAATAAAAATAAAAACTATTCTTCAATGTTTCAAAAATAAATGTTCTGATCATGGTAGAATTACAAGGTAGCCCTATCAGGCCATCTGTTGGCAACTTGATATGTCAATCAAATTGTTGTAATATGAATTCGCCCTACAGATACATAAAGTGAGAAAGAAACCTGAACAATTATTAAAATTGAAAATGTGGAAAAAAGTTAAAAAACAAACCAAATATGAGGTATTGTATGGTTTGTAAGCGAGCACAAGCAAAGACCAATACCTTTGTAGAACAAGGAAAGATCAATACCTTCCTTAACTTACACATCTAGTACATACATATTTCTATTTGCTACTATCCACCAAATCTTAGATTTCTTCCCTATCCCTCAAAGGGTAAATGAATCACCCAGACAATAGTCTATGTTCTTTCATATTAAAATTCATCAGATCTTATTTGAACAATAGATCTGGTACCTATCCTACAAAATATTTTATAATCACTATTCTCTTAAAATTTGATATTATTCCCCGTTCTCTTCAAAGTATTAATACTAGATTTAGTGAAAATTTGAAATTATTTAATCTTTATGATGCGTCCTTGAAATAAAGTAAAGATAAATAAGTGGCCAAATTCTGAGGATATATTTCTGTCAAAGCTCCGACTGAACTTTTTTTCTTAAAACTTGGACTTTTATTCGTGGACGATTCCTTTGGGACTTCAAGATAAACAATCGGTCTAATTTCAAAAATAATAATTTTTAGGTCTGAAATAAATCAACAAATCCACTATTTGAGATGCGCAAATATGCTTTCGAGATATAGCCACGACTGAGACCCGGAATGTTCTTCAAATATCCACGATTTAAGAGCCGATTGAAGGAATCTATCCTTTTTTAGAAATCCACGGTTTGGATCAGCAGCCTTTGTAAATTATCCTCAATTTGGTGGTTGTTTCTTGGTTTCTTGTCTTATTTCGAGTCTTCGACTTTTTGTTTGCTTTCACACAATTTCCTTGCAAAATATATATTTTTAAATGTAAATAAAAACACAACAAAATAATTCAATGCTTCGAAATTTTATATCTCAAATTTTATATGTCAAGTCAATTCGCCTTGCTTACAATTTCGACATATCAAGTTCCGACAAAATTTGCTTTGTTGTAATTTTCGCCTATATTGTTACCTGGTATTTCTACCATTGTTCTGATTTGGGGGAAACAATTTGTCTCAAATTCTTGTGCCACAATTTTGACACATCAAGTTCCTACAAAAGTTACTTTGTTGTAATTTTCGCCGATGTTGCTACCTGGTATTTCTACCATGGGTTTATTGAAACTTCAAAAATGTAATGTTTAGAAGCACAATTTGTGTTTTTGTGAGCTGAAATGTTTGGCACGAACTCACATTTAAGCGAACGCGGTAAGGGCAAGCAGCAGTAAATTACTTTCCGACGAACTTTCCGTGGAACTTTAAAAGAGACAAGAGACCGCTCTCAAGCTGTGGAAATTTACAAAGCTTCTGCTCCAAGTAGTGGTTTTTTTATTCATCTCGAAACGTTCAAAGTATAGCTCTCATAGCAATCATTTTCGGTCCTTTTTGTGAAAGGTACCAGAAAGAGTGGACAAAAACATCACATAATCACATAATGGATGTTCTAAATCTTAGAATTGGTGGCAAGTGCCAAGTAAACATCAGATGTTTTGTAAGGTATGGCAGGTGTTAGACTTTGTTCGCGGGTTAATATCGATATGTTGGGTTGAGAGTAGCATGCTTTTAAACAAAAAAGCTGCCAATAGCACATTAAAATACTAATACAACTGAAATTGTATAGTTATTATACCATCAGACATCTGGCCACAGAGGGTATGTATAAATTGATAAGGCCAAAATGGCTTACGACCGTAGGTCTCTTTCGACGAAATTTGTTTCAGGACATTTGAAGTCGATCCGTCCGTCTGTCGGGCTGGTGCTCATTTCAAATTAGCATTCCCAGGTCTGCATTTCCTGTAATTTACATTGTCAAATTTCAATGCATACAAAACAGTTCCCATCTTATATTTTCTGAGTATACAGTGGATTTATGAATATAGATTTTGACAATGAGATGTTGTCAAGTGTATAAATTTGAAAAGAAATTATAAACATATGACTTTACCTTCTTAGTTCTACCATGGTACAATAAAGAGGTAAGGTAGGGCTAACAGCTGATTGCAATTCTTTTCTAAGTGTGTCCGACTTCTGCCAATTTTGTGTGTGTATTTTTTTTTTTTTTTTTTTTTTTTTTTTTTTTTTTTTTTTTTTTTGAAAAACAAAAACAAAATATGTTTAAAATCAGTGATTGGAAGAAACGTACATTTCAGGGCGCACATTAAAGATAATTACCATTTTTGCCATAGAATTGGAAGATTGATCAATTTAGATAATTTTTTTCGAAAGAAAATCCAGGCATTTCATTCATCTTTCGCGTTTTTTAATCAATATTCAAAATAATGAAAAATATTTAAAAAAAAAGTAGAGCCACCTGTTGTATCTACTATTCAATAATTCTGACAGAAAGCGGGCATAGCCTCAGGGGTGTATTTCTGTACTTTTACGAAGCTGTTCTACCTCCTTATTGTATCATGAGTTCTACCATGGTTAGAACCCTGGCCCAATTATAAGGTCGTCCAGAAGGCGAATTCCCCAAAAATACAACTCTTCAACTATATATATATTCAAAATTTGTTATTGGGGCAAATAAAATATATATTCGCCTGGACATAAAAATAATTCAGCGAATTCCTGTTTTGTCAATATTGACAATAAACATTTTGTGTGAAATACTACATGCCATAAATTCGCGGTTATAATTGTTTCCTGTGGAATCTTGTACCCCCCAGAACTTGAAACTTCCGCAAGCATCATTTTTATCTCATTGTTTTGAAAGCAGCTGATGAAAATATTGGCATCAGTATGCGTATGCCCTTGAGATTCTGAGACCGTGTAATTGTAAAGATTTCAAACATGTCTCTGGTTACGCACGCCGCGTTCATTTGCAAATTTAAAGCACTCGTGTATTGATTTCAAGAATGCAAAGCGCCATATTAAAAGACAAAGTTTTATAAAGATTTAGTAATAGTTGGCATTTCAATCATTGAAAGATTTAATGATCTCACGAAAGTTTGAGGGCGGCAGTACATATTACATGCCTCCCGAACCACCGCTTCTGGAGTTACACATCGAGTGCATCAGTTAACAATATATTTAAGTTCCCGTAAAACGAATTTTTTATAACATCGTATAGATCGCCGATGAAACCACCAACGATTACAAAAATCGTAATCCAAATCCATATACATATGTGACAATTTAATAGGCATTATCTTGAGTAGAGGAGATGGAGCTCCCCACCAGGGAGAGTAGTATTCATCAAAGTTGTGTAATTTGCCATGATAAAGAAAAACCCACATGATGTAGAGAATAGACTGCCGCTGAAATCACAAGGGTCAAGAATAGGAATTGCTGGTTAGTCATGTAAACATGATAATCATTAATATGGTCAAGATGACAATGTTATTCAGATAGGGGGATTTGAAAGATGTTTGTGAGAAACATTCTGTTCAGCAAACAATTTCTTTTCAACAAGCTGCTGGTATAGCGAGACAAAGGGGTAGAGAATTGAGATTTCTTCTTTGAGTATCTTTCGTTGCTTAGGACTCAAAATTGGCATTTAAATTCAAATAATTATGTTTAGAAAATGTTCCGGTCATTTTTAGAATAAATGGAATATAATTTTAACGTCTATTGTAGTTGTCAGGCGAATTCAAAATATGCTGACAGAAAATGTAGGTATCAGCTGGGCTTACTTGTCGACCTTATAATTGGGCCATGGTTAAAACGAATGCGTTTCAATGCGAACGTTTCGAGTTAAAAGTAACTTTTTTACAAAAAAAAAAAAAAAAAAAAGAACAGGTCCTAACGTTACTGTCTCTTACGTTCGTTCTCCTGCCCTCATTGTTATTTATGCAATTATTTGTGCTCGTTTTAGTCACATAGAATATATGGAAACATTCAAGAGCAGTAGACTCTTTATTTTCCTATGCATCAATGCTTTACATAAGAGCTGAACAAAATTCGAAAAGCATTCATTGAAAGGAGAATGAAAATTCAATTTTTCATTATTTGTATTGTCTAAAATTAAATATTAAAATTTTGGTTAATGTTTTTCACCGAAACTCTAAGAGATATTGGCATCAACATTAAAGTTGGTAAATGTTCGGTTCTGACTTTTATGCTTATTTACCTGGTCGTCGAACGCGCAAGACATGACAGCAACAAATATCACCAGCCATGGTAAAATCCAGTACATTGTTCCGGCTGCACCCACCGCCAAAACCCAAATGCTGTCGAAACGCATACTCGTTATTATCGAAATGAAATAGAACGGTCCCGAGGGTGCCGAAAACACCATAAATGTGACAATCACTAAAAATACGGGGCCAAATCGTTCACCCAACTCCCGTTCACAAAGGTCTATTAATTTCTTGCGTTTCGCCATTAATTCTATCAAGTCAAAACTTTCGCCATGACTTTCTTTCTCCGCCGACATCATTCTACAGATGTCGTCATTGATATGTTGCATGCAAGATTCGACAATTTTTATCACGGACACGTACGTCAAGAGGATAATGCCGAAAAGTAGAAATATTAGATTGTTCATAAATTGATAACATGGTCCGGCTACATGTCCCACCTTAATTTTGGAAAACACTCTGTAATTGTTCACGAAATTCGTAATGGCCAACAAGATATACACCCCGAACCAATGGCGCAAATTCCATCCCTTGCAGTGGAACTGTAAAAACGTCTGTTGGTAGCTTAGAACCGATTCAATCGTTTGCAGCAAACACGTTTGACAAATAAAAAAATACAAATAAATAACGGAAATCACAGCACTGCCCGACACGTAGTTCAGCGTCACATAAATGTTTCCCGTTGAATTGTATGACTCGAAGTCGAATTGTTCGGGAAATAGTAGCCAGTAGAGGAACAACAATCCACAGGTCGTCTGCATGAGTGCCATGGCAAAAAACGATCGGAC